GAGGCAGGAGACTCGCTTGAGCCCAGGAGTTAGAGGTTGCTATGAGCTGTGATGCCACGGCACTCTACCCAGGGGGACAGCTTGAGGCTCTGTCTCAAAAATAAATAAATAAATAAATGATATAAATTGAATCTTATCACCCTACACTTATAAAATGTCATTTATTAAAAAAATATATATATATCATTTATTGATGTTATATATTAGAAGCTAGGATAAGATTTCATCTGAAAAGAGATTTCCATTGCTAATAATCTTTGGACATTCCCACATTAAGCTAAAAATTCCCTAAATGAAATTTAAATGACTAAGTACACAAATTTAGCTTTAGCTATAGGTTTTCTATCTTATAATATGATGCAAGGCAAGATGATGGTGTTTTAATTCTATTAGGACTCGATTATCCAAACATTCTAATTCAAGAAATTTAACAATACTGAGTTATGCTTCCTCTCTACAAATTTGATACTGGTTTAGAAAAGTTGCTTTTAAAGTAAATATGAAAGTTCCAATGACGTTTACTTCTTCTTGGGATGATATTTCCTCCTACACTAAGAAGCTAATTCTTTCTTGCCGTCTATGGCCAACCAAAATAAAATACTGAAGACAATGAAGCTCTGCTTGATTATTTCTAGCTCTAGTAATTTTAAGCCTAGTGACCCCTCTGTATTGCAGACCAGGGCCTCTAAAAGACATACCAAGAAATGTGGACATATTAAAATTACAAAACAGCAGAATCTGTACTAATAACACATTTTAGGTATCATTTGCAACTTTCTCTTAAACATAACTTAACTCTAAAATATAAATAAAACGAAGAAAGATGAATCCATGATAAATTCACTTGAAAGGGAAATCTTTGAAGAAAAATACCAGGTTAGCTCTCTACAGAGATCTATATGATAATCTGGTTGTAAACTAAAAATTGTTTTTCATTTTTTAAATCTGTAAAAAAAGAAAGCAATATGCAACAGAGACTGACCATATGTGGCCTGCAAAGCCTAAAATATTTATTAGCTAATCATTTATAGCAAAAGCTCGCCAGCTACTGATAGAGACCTATATGTGTTCATACCTTAAAAATTATACATTTTAATATAACAAATTATTTATTACCTGTTCATAATTTAAACGTTGAATTTCTGAAATTTCTTTTGGCTTTGCCTCAAGCATGTAATCTCCTGTAAAAAGAAATTGTGAAACTGTCTTTTAAAAGTATTACTTAGACGACCAAAAATCGTATTACAACAAAGATATTTGTATCAGAATGTTTATTGCAGCCCAATTCATAATTGCCAGGTCATGGAAGAAGCCCAAGTGCCCATCGATCCACGAATGGATCAACAAACTGTGGTATATGTACACCATGGAATACTATGCAGCCATAAAGAAAGATGGAGACTTTATGTCCTTCATGTTCACATGGATGGAGCTGGAAAATGTTCTTCTGAGCAAAGTATGACGAGAATGGAAGAAAAAGTATCCAATGTACACACCCCTATTATGAAACTAATTTATACCTTTTATATGTAAGTTATAACCTAATAACAGCCTAAGAATACGGGAAGGGGGGAGGGAAAGGGGAGCGGGGAATGGGTGGAGGGAGGGGGATTGGAGGGATCACTTCTGAGGTTTATCTTACAAGGGTACAAGTGAATCTTTCTAAGAGCAGAATGTGACCGTTTTAAAATAATAACTAAGAAAATGACACGAAGGCTATGTTAACCAGTTTGATGGAAGTGTTTTGGATTGTGTGTGAAAACCCCACACTGTACCCCAGAAGTGCATTAATGTACATAGTTACCATTCAATAAAAAAGAAAAAAAAACAAATAAAAGTATTACTTTTTTCTGATGATGAAGTATAGATTTAATTATAAATCTTTAAACATTATAGCAATACATGACATATGATCACCCTCATTCTATCCAGAGAAAATCAACATTAAATATTTGCTGCTGCCTCACATAGTTTTTCTACACTATAAACCTTTTTTGAATTTTTTTTCATCTATTTGAGCATTTTTTGTTGTTGGTTTTTTTTGAGACAAAGTCCAGCTCTGTCATCCAATCTCCCAAGTTGCCAGGACTACAGGCTACAGGCACACACAACCACACCAGGCTAGTATTTCTTTTGTTGTGTTGTTTCTTTTGAGACAATCTCAGTTTGTAGCCTTTGGTAGAGTGCTGTGGTGTCAAAGCTCACAGCAACCTCAAACTTTTGGGCTCAAGTGATTCCTCTTGCCTCAGCCTCCTGAATAGCTAGGACTATAGCGCCTGCTACAATGCCTGGCTAGTTTTTTTTTTTTTTTAAAGACAGTGTCTCATTCTTGCTCAGGGTGGTCTCAGACTCCTGAGCTCAAGCAATCCACCTGGATTGGCCTTGTAAGAGTGCTGGGATTACAGGGGTACGCCACAACAACTGGCCTATATGTTGAGGTTTCGAAACAGTATTTAACTGAAAACTGAACTTTATTTTCAGTAAATGTTATTGTTCAGTCAAATAATTGAGATATTTAAGTGCTATACTTGAATCCTACATTTATGTTCTGTATTTATTCTGATAAAAGACTGTATATACTATCCTGACTACCACTCTAGTTGGGCTGTGATGCAGAAGATTATATAATACAAAAGTAAATGATCCTGGATAAGCTAACATAGACTAAAGCTTAGGTATTAAGAGTAGAACGATTATTGGAAACACTCAGACAAGCAACTCTTCTTTTCCTGAGCTTAGAACAGGGGTCCTCAAACTTTTTAAACAGGGGGCCAGTTCACTGTCCCTCAGACCCTCGGAGGGCTGGACTGCAGGCCCTGAGATGAGTCGGCTGCTAAGCAGGACAGGCAACGGCAGCAAAAACACCCGGTGGGCTGCATGTAGCCCGTGGGCCATAGTTTGAGCTTAGAAAATGTCAGCTTGGTGCCTGTGGCTCAAGCGGCTAAGGCGCCAGCCATATACACCTGAGCTGGTGGGTTCAAATCCAGCCTGGGCC